AGTAAGCATATTTTTGAGTCCGCGGATGTTGAGGGACAAGCTTACAACTTCTAGTGAACAGCGTAAGTGAACTGTCATAAATAAGTACAGAGAGATGCGAGCATAATCTGCTGGAGAACAACAAGGATCAAAAACAGGTCTAAATTGTAGGAGCAACAAAGCTGAAGCTGGAGCCCAATTAAATGAGAAAAAATTTTTGACATATACCTTGATAGCTAAAACCAGAATCGAGAACGTCTGAAAAGACGTTCAACACATTACATGAAAGAAATAAGGGGTCGTGCTCATCCACGATAAAAAGATGACAGAAATGAAATAATGGTCAATAAGCTATCTCAACGATATTATGTAAAATTTATTAGAGAACTGCTCAAAAAATGAATTTCCTTATTAGAATAATAGAGCAAACACCAACAATGTTGTACAAACAAGCTCACACGATTTGATTTAATGTCTGTCTGTCGGAACTGATGGGTATCTAAGACCCAACGAAGCTGCACTTCCAGAAATGTTATTTCCAAACTCAGCCTGCTACCGAAATTGTGAATTTCGAAGGGGTTCTGGTGAAGAAGTGAGATATTTCAATTTACACCAAGTGGAAAGGTCTAATTAGGTCAGATCCGTTGCTGAGAAGTTCCAGAAACCACATAACATATGAGAATCAAATATGTGACGAAGCTAAACGTTTTCTGCCTTATTCAATGGCTGAGTGACTGTCTCACGAGGGAGAGTTATCTTTTGGTCATTCATTCGTGCCTCCTTCTCTTTGTCAATACGAGCTCTGTTCTCCTTTTCTGCTTCTATACGGCGGTAGACTGGCTTGAAAAGTATAACAAGTACCAGAACAAGTAGTGCCGCCAAAAGGGAAAATACCTTAAAAAATAAAATGAGAGGTTTTTCATGTACTACTCAGCAATTCAACTAGCGACGACATAATTGAGAATTAAAAAGCCATGGGAAGAAAGCGCCACATAATTCTTTGGCCACAAATTATGCCATCTCCATCGTCGACAGCGCAGAAATTGCAAAACGAAAGAAAACTTGAAGAAGTAGACTTCTTCGCACCTTTAATTTTCAGCAACGACTAGCTTGGATGTGGGCTCTACAGCCAAATTCCCGAGGTAGGCAACAACTACCGTAATTTTTCGCTGAAATTAGAGTTCCCCCTCAACGGTGCGCGACCGGGTAATGCGAGCGAAATACACCGTTCCACGACGAAATACCGCCCCACGAGCCTTTCAAGTTTCCTTCTGAGGTTTTCTCGGCGATAAAAGCCTCCCGCCGATGCGCTGGTATACGACACATCCTCCAAGCGGACAATAAGCAATACCAATCTTCAATTACTTCTCTGAGAGATATAATCGTGTTGACTAAAACACCTTATATTGTTCAAAGTAAATTATAAACTAGGCATAAGAAGGTATTCAAGTACCAACCATGACAGCTTGAGTATTATCCTTAGGCTGATTCATTTTGTCCATTACATCGAGGGTGCAGACCTGCAATCACCAATCTAATAGTTATAATATTCAGTAGTTCAACTCGATACAAAAAAANAAAAAAATAACGAAACACTAAGCAACAGAATCACGCAAAAGCTGAAAGAGGTACCTGGTGAGCCATACGTTCCGGTTGAAGCGGACGAGCGAACTGCTTCATAATCAGCACATAAAGGACACTTTGTACCTTAATGTTCACTTTAATTGCTTTCCAAAAATACTAACTTCGTATTAGCTCTTACCTGACCAGAAAGAACGATGAGCCCTGTTGACGTAGCCTCTGATACAGGAAATGTACATTCGGCTGAAAGCTCGAGACCAACGGGATAGGTTGCCAATCCAAATATTCCAAACAGCACGCAAGTTAAAGCCAAGAGAGGTGCAAAATTCGTATGGAGGGTAAGCTATAAACATTCTGTTATAAGATGAATTGAGTAATAATTACCGCTATTCTTGACAGGTTTCGTTCTTGGCAATAATATAAGAAAAGGTACCTGCATAAAAATCAAGCCGAACACAACGGCAAGTCCCATGGATACTTTCATGGTTTCTTCATACATTTTTGTGCGGTCCACAAAAATGCCTGCAAATTCACCATCGTGAGTTAAACATTGTAGAAGATGAAAAATAAAAGTGGAAGATCAGTTTAAGGTGAAGTTTCTGAATACCACTAACCACTTCCAGCAGCTCCGACGATTCCGCCGATAATCATGAGTGCAGCACATAAACCGACAAACGAATTCGAGTACCCGGACGGACAGAGGAGTTCCTTGATATTTTCTTTCTACCCAAAAAAGAAATAATGATGCGGAAATGTCACCTGCATAATGGTATAAAGACAGTTGAACATGCCGATTCCACCACCCATGACGATGAATAGGATTAGATATTGCTTCGACATCATGCATGCCTTGAGCCCTAGAACAGCCAATGATCAATACCCTTCATATCCTACCACTGAAGAAATTCCCCTTTCTCTGCTTTCAAGGAAACAGCAGTACTGGAATTTGGACAAAATTGGACACTTCATTCCAAACTTCATAAGCTTCTCCCCACTATTCACTATGATATTTTTGCTGATAGAATGAAAAAGATCATTCTACGTCGAAGCTAAATGGTAAAATAGCGCAACTTCTGCGTTTCGGACGAGCTTATGACGAAAAAAAAACAAAAAAGAGCAAAAAAAAAAACAAACGATTGCATGAAGGGTATGCAAAGAAACTAACCAGGGAGAAATTCCATCTGAGGCTTACTGGCGCTAAATGTTGGTGGTATCTTCGGTTCACTACGCTTGACTGCAACCTGTAACAACTACTACTGAGGATTACAAATTTCTGAAATGCAAACAGCTATCGTAAATACTCATTTATGAAACAGCGTACCGTTGCGAGTAACATGGCAGCAGCAGCAGGAACAAACGTGAAAATATTGAGGTACACGACGTGCTGTGGGGCACGGACCATTTGAGGGCTTATCACGTTGGCTAAAAGCACTCCTAATGGATTGGACATCACACCGATGGTTGTTGCTATACCACGCTGAGTATCGGGAAACCACGAGCCAGCCACCTAAAACCAGTTATGCAGATGATTCAATAACTCAATTTCCTGTGTTATTACCTTTGTTGGAAGGAACATGATAAAAGGATAAGCAATTGCAGCAATCGCCTGTCCGGTGATTCCAATCGGGAAGCGATATTGCGGAGGAAGGAATGAACTAGATAAGCGGATCAGTCCACCAATACCATTGGTCCATCCTTAATTTGAAGCGTTTTAATCAAATGAAACGAACATATGAGCTAACAAAGCAAAAGTAGGCAAACACTCTCTCCAAAATAACAACTCTTATCATTCTCCATCTGCCGCAAAAGAGTAGTTTTTACTGAAGGGGCTATAGGGATTATGCGCAATCATAAAATTATAACTAAGACTCCGCCAATTATAAGATCCACTAAGGTTGTTTAAGCCCCATTCTACTGAGGGCGGAATCACGAGTGAAAGACATGGAGCAGCAAAGTTCAGTGGATGTCGAGAAATCAGAGTAGTTCAAATATGAATAATCAAGTTTCATATCCTAGGCAATCCAATGGAGATTCGTCGGGACCTTACATCAATTAGCATGCATTAATTAAAGGTAGAAAGAATAAAAGCGGAATCGTAACCCACCTGCAATCAATATAGCACTCCGTAAGCCAAAACGACGACCCGCCCACATTGCGAAGAAGCCAACTGGTATTGTACAGATCATGTACACCATGGAAAACCTTGAACAACAAAAAACGTGAGTTCCCTGAATGAAAAAGAACCCTATAACCCAAAAGGTATACCATGCTGCACTATTCTCGCCATAGAAGCTATTGACGTAGTTCGACACAGGAGCAAAAGCAATCCATGACATAGTGTTGGTGTTATTCAGCAATGCGACCACGGTAAGAATCACCCATCTTCGCGTGTACACCCTTAATCAGTGTAAGGGATGCGAACGGCAGCTATGGTTTAGGCTTTGAAAGACTTACTTTAGTTGAACCGGTTCTACTTCCTCTTCGTCAGACGGATTAGACGGCTCAACGGCTTTCTTAAAAAGGACTGATGACACAGTTTTGAGATCTTCAAAGAAATTTTCACTCACATCCATGTTCGACAGCTGTATATCCAGCTTGTCCGGCTCTACATCGTTACCTTGCGCGGTCATTTCTACCCTGTCATTGAAGATTAATAGTATGAAACGGCGTCAACAAGAAAAAAACCAAATTAAACGCTGTTGATGATTCACATAAATTAATTATTACCAAAAAATTGTTTAGAACATTGCAAGTTCTAAGAGAAATGGTCATTCAAACAAACTATATGAAAACCGAATTGTTAAAGAAGGAATAAATACTAAGAGTACAGTGCTCAAAGAGAAATTTGGCAAATCGATGTACAACAGAACAGCACCAAGCAAAAAAAAAAGAATTTTGATAGCTAACTGGCCGACTGACCTCCTCTAAATCCAAATACATAATTATGAGATACCTGTTTCCATCGATTTTCTGATGCGGCAAAATTTAGCTTAACAATTTGAATATAAATCTATAACTATCTATAATGTAAAGTGTAACCTTGACATTTTGATGTTTCATAAGATCATGCAGGAGGAAAGAGCAGATTGACAAAAATGATAATAAAAGGAGAACGGAAACTGAGTTATTTCTTGCTATCAGACTACTCCGAGTAAGATTACATCCCAAGGTTTGCGACTCAATCGACCAACGAATCCTCCTCCTTCCGATGCCTATTGTCATAAAACCTAACCGACCATCAATAATATGAGAATCCCGGCCAATAATTTATGAACATGAAGATTGATGGATTTGCTTCGTAAGAGATATCACTCAAGACTTCAGTTGACTAACCGGGCTGCTCAGTTGTAGAAAGTAAGTGCACTACCAGACGCAGTAAAGGAGAGGGTTGAATTCCAAATGGATGGTTAATATTGAGGTCAGGGACATCGGATGGAAACCTTACAAGCATAAGCGTTAGGCTGCTTTCAGACTTCGACGATTCTACCTGCGTGTGTGCTGGTCCCACACGCAGGTAGAATCGTCGAAGTCTGAAAGCAGCTATAGACGTGTGCAGCCGTGTAGTATTACCTGTACCCGCGTGATTGGAGAAGAATTTCGCCCAATCCTAAGGATCAGGACTGCATTCCGGCTGGTAAAGGACAAAATGCTTGGTGATGATCAAGTTTCTCTTAAGATGCGTGACTTCCTTTTGGAATCGTAGTGACGTTTTGAATGTGGCATTACACGGTTACCAATACGAGGTTCGAAAACTCGAAGAGAAAAGGAATTTCGTATCAAATGTCTCGAATTACGTTCCCCGCGTCCCCACTCGCTTTCTGATAGAGTGCCTTCTTCCAACTGGTTTACTGCTTACTTCTTTGACAGGTTCAGCTGTGCTAGTTCGATTCTATGACTTGGAAATTTTATTTGATTACCATTAAGCTGCGCCAACTGTTCCGTTCAGCCGAACCAATAAATGACAGAGCTTCCTGTGACAAGATGCGTAATCATGAAGATGAAGAATACGGCGAAAATAATATCTCATTAGAGAAATCAGCCAAAATCGGAAAAAAGCTGTGGAAGAATGAATCTATCCAAGAGACTTAGTGCACTGCACGGCAATAGGTAAGCTGCTGTTCAAGGTTCATGTAACATCAAACAATCGCACTTATATCCGCAAAAACCTAGAAATGGATCCCTCTCATGAACATGAATTCAAAAAAATCCGACTAACCAACAAAAGCGTTGACAAGATGTTATAACCGGTAATATCTAACAAATGGAGCCCATCTGAATAGTAAAATTTTTTGATCCAAAATTCGACAGAATTCGGTCGGATTGATCATCCCGCTCACGGATACAACCTCCTGCCCCCTCCCCCAACTCCTCTTCAATGGAGTTCTGCTAGCACACAAGTACGCTTTCTATGCTTAGCTCTCCCTCTCCCAGACGACAGTTCTAACTCTTTACAAATGACTTCAGTCGGGACATACAACATAAGGTAATACCGTTAGGAGTGAAATAGCCAAATACTAGACACTTTGTCAGCCTGAAATCCGCACACCCAAACCACAGATGCATCCCTTAGCATCAACTGATGCAACACTACCTGATGGAAATGCACTTGAGGGCGCCGCTACTCTACTCGGCGTCTCAGAAGTTGCAAAAGTTAGAACTAGAACGCAAAGAAGATGGCTTTACTGGCCTTTTGTGAAGCTTAGAAACCACCTACTCCCAGCAAGTGGCTGGATATCTAAACCTAAGGACGACAAACATGGGATGAGTAAGACGTCAACCTCACGCAAAAAGGTGGAATAGAAGAGAAGTCGATAAAGAGAACTCTATATCGCTTGGGAGTGGGAACGGGAGCGAGAAAACATGTGCTTCCCTGGACACTGATTTCACCCACTGTTTTTGATTATGTTACGCAGTAAGGCCATCAACTAAAGCTTTCATCACTGCAGGATCCACCCGAAGGAGCAGCCTGCACGCGGTGCCGTCAATGAGGAGGCGTGTCCGCTCACTGTCTGCCCTCTCATCTGGAGCTGTCCCCCGTCAGCGGGGGATGCTATCTATAAATAGCGTTGACTCACCAGCGCGTCCCCACGATTTCGTATCCCGTACCTTTCTATCCCCACCCACGGGTTCTTGCCCTCTCTACTGTGTCGAATGGGACTGATGTTAGGAACCGGCAAAAGCTTTGTTGTTCTCAAAGGGATGAATGCATGGCGCAGTAATCCAGTCAGCAAGCGACGCGTGCGGGAGAGTCGATGGTATTTACAAATGCGATGTCAGCGCAGGCAATGCAATGGATAGCAACCAAGAGGGATGGGGAAGCATTGGACTAATGTGTCAAGTCAGAAGTATGCATTGATTGACATAGATAAGGAAAGTGTATAGGCAAGGTAAACGAGATTTATCTTGATAAAAGGCCCAGCTGAAAGGCCGGGGTCAGCAAGCTCAGTGCACTTCAGCCTTCTTCACTGGCTCACCACAGCTGTTTCTAACCAAAATGGTGAAAAATGTAGCTGATTAGTAATATATGTATGTATATTTAGTATATCGGTCAATATGCAATCAGGTATCATCGAGTTACGTCACACTATTACTCATTCTTCCCCGTCACCAGCATGATCTCGTCCAGCGCCCAAACAATATCGAATGTATAATTAGAAAGCATTCATTTCATTTCAGACTATGAGAAATAAAGATTAAAAAACAAAAAGTAAACAATACCAAAACTCAAGACTGTGAAAGACACAGTAATTACCGATGAGGGAAAAATTCGTATCATTGCGGTCGTAAAAGTATGATAAGAGTGAAAAAACTGCATTGCGAGAAGTTCTGACTTTGATGGATGAGATTTTTAGATGACCGTTTAACACAACCGTTCAGACTTTGACTACTGCAAAATCTCTGAATTAATCACAAGAGACACCACATTGTTAACAATACCCAGTAATATGGAATGTAAGCTATTCTGTGTTATGTTGACGACACTTATCGAGAGACGCACACAACAGGAAATGCCGAGCGTGACAAACATGTCGTAGATTGACTTACCTCGCGTCGTGTCTCCTGTAATTGCGTGCGTTGAGGAGTTACCGTAATCTCACGTCTAGATTTATTCGTTTCCACTAGGCGGTGTCAAGGTGGTTCTTGTCACGCTTTTAATCCGTACTAGAAACGAGTACAAGCTGAACAAGTAGGACCTCCGGATCTATGTTCAATACTGAAGCTCTAAAGCAGTAGATGTTATTGAGACTAAGTAGTAGTGTACTCGACGTAAGGGAAGAATATCTTGTGCTGCTGAGGGAACGTAAGGCGTCGTTTACCGAACGCTACGAGTGGGGGAGGGTTCGTGCGTCTCAAAAAAGTAGTTCAGAGAAGTATGAACCTTTCAGATGACCCTTCCTCGTTGCCGTCTGTCAGGCCGTGATGGTAACAGAAAATCAATAGTATTCGTATGTTCAAGAAAAGACCCAACAAGTCAACTGTGACTGCCTCCACGACTCTGCCCTATCGAGACCTTAGTGATTCCGCTCGCAGGCAACCGAGAAAGGGTATTTGATTTATCTTCTGAAGGGTGATGGACGAGCGCGGTATATGGTAAGATTGTAGCTGGGAAGAAGGCGGTAGTTTGGGTGTCGCCCTGCGCAACCATATTGTTACTAAGGCTTCAACTGCATTGGAGGGATTTGAACGTACCGTGAAAGTGTGCTACAGTAACCCCTCCCCCCCTGGTACACTACCATTCAGGTTACTGTGTAACAATTTAACGGGACTATAAAATTCGTCTTGTTTCAACTACCACCTATGTGCCGTCCATGCAAAGTAATTTCTGCAGCTCGTCCAAAACATCGGGTCTCCCAATTCATGGTCAGCTGTCAGTTTTATTGGAAGTGTTTCGCACCTGGAGGTGACGCGATCTCGATTAAACATGAAGGTTGAAAGTTCCCACCCATGCACATTAATTGGGTAGAAAGTAAAGGACTTTCATAAATAACATGAGATGAGCAACGAAACAAAACGTCTCGAGAAAAATGACCCTCCTGAAAAATATTACTATGCTTCAGAAGAATTGCAGAGTTGTGCAGGAACCACCGGTTCCAATCAATGCTAAAAACGCAAAAAATGTCAGTTATACAAGTTTTAGTGCAGTTTAGTGCGGTCCAACTTAGCATTTTCGTTCAACCCTCGTCAGTTCCCATATTCACCTCTGTAAGAAAGTGAGATTACACAGAACAAAAAGTGTTATCAGTTAGATTAAGCCAGTCATGTTAATAGAAATGAAAAAAAATTCCCCATGCAAACATTCTGAAATGCATTGATTACCGCTGTATGACAGGAATTCTAATCACTGGATTTTGCGTTCTCCTTAAACCTTTCCTTGCCAAGCTTAGTGAGTTTCTGTTGTCCACTTTTAATCTCATCAATTTTCTGATAGCATTCAATCCCATATTCTTGTGAGGCGATCCTTCTCTAGCTAGAGGTTGAGCGGTTAAAAGCAGAAACAACTTTCGTCCTGTTCATTGTAAGCTTCGAATCCCACTGATATATCTATGTGCAATAATAAATTTGCGCATTAGTAACTTATTACACTTGTTTTTTTTTTCAAAAGAATTGTTTTTCTTATTATGTTCTGTTTTGCTAATCATGATTTCTTTACATTTCCTTTACCTTCTACTTCACATTCTCACACCAAATATTGGTCGGCTTTCACATAGCTATATATTAAAAACATTATGCCTTAAGCAAAATAAGTAACAGTCGAATATGAAAAGGCAGGCAGTGAAAATCACTTGAGTTCTCAATCTTGTTGAAAAAAAGCCAATGAAGAGCTGCGAAACACAGATATGAACACGAAGGGCAACTTTCCAATAAACAATGGTATTTTAAAACAAACAACACCTTAGGACTCATCTTAAGTACCATGATTCTCACTTCGAGCAGAGATCTTGTAGAAACAAGTAAAAATTAATAAAAGTTCCTTCTTACAATTAGCATACTAGCGCCTCGAAATTGTCGTTAAGTAACACGGTTGCGGTGAGCTGCAGAAGCTGCATGATACTTAACGGTAAATTAATCCAGCACCCTTGTATAGTATTGAGCTTGTGGATTTATATTAACTACTTTCAAGTTTATTTTCTTACTGTCAGCCTTATTGCTCGACTATTCCGAATTTTCCTCCTCTCCATTTCAAAACCGAATGCCCGCCAACGCCCGGCATTCTTCTTTTCCTTTTCGACCTTTTCGATTCACATAAATAATAATGAATAGCCGAGTCCTGCGGTACACGAATTGATAGTGAATGGCAATCGCTGCTTCTGAGGCGATGTGCACTATCGATGGTATGAGCCTCTCCCGATCGTAGTGCCAGCTGGTGACCAGCTAGAGATCTTCAGTTGAAAAGAATATTCAGTGAAGGAGATCCGTGGATCACATGCAGTAGATTTATTTTTCTGAGATGAATACATTTGATACATTTCGGTCATAAATTTGCCAGCATGTCCACCCCTTGATAATCTATGTGCACACATCCGAGCACTAGGAAAGGTATCATGATCTATTTTTTATTAACTTTTTTTCAGGTCTTGATTTATGTATCGTCGATTACCACCGGGCTACATTACAAAATCTACAATAATCGTAGTTGGGGGAGGACTGCTGGGTTATGCCGCCACTGAAATGCTATGGGGCTCGGAAGTCTTCTATGATAGAGCGGTTCGTTTCTTCTAACAACCTTCCCCATTCCATTGTGTGTGAGGAGTGAATTTGCCGTCTTTAGGTGATGCCGCTTGTTCACAAGTATACTGATGGAGAAACAGCACACAGTCTAGCTATTCGCGCGGCTTCCTGGGGTCTGACTCCGCGGTTCGGACCTAATCGAAGGGAGTACGACGAGTTAGCATGTGAGGTTCGACTTTGTGTTTTGAATGCTTTATTGCTTCTTTCATTGGTACAACCCAAAACTATAATTTCAGTAGAAAATGGTTTGAAGACATCCATACATTTAGTATTGTCGAAAAATTACAGCGGTCACTAAGTAGAAGTGATGTTACACAAATGTTTCGCTTTTGGCGATCACCCCAACTGTGGAAATTCGAAGCAAAGGCTGGTTTACTGAGTTTCGGATAGGCTTTTGTTCCCCTTTACCGTGCTTTCCCAATTTGGGAAGGGCTGCTCAGTGTCGATTGGCATGGCATGCCTGTGCGCCTCATAATAGAATATAACGTCTATGAAGCGCTCAAACATACCTGTTCTTTGCGGCATTTTTCGTAATTCAACCAACTACGGCTATTGCACTGATTGTTTGGTAGTTTACCTTGAATAACGAGGCCGACCCGGTTGCTTGAAGGTCTTATAGGCGTTAAATCCCACCGGGTTTCTCATGAGTCGTTAACGATAAAAGCCGCTGCCTCTCCTTAATTTGCATAGGGCCGGTGTGTCTGTGGCCATTCAGTAGCTCGACGTCACTTGACCTTTTTGAGGACTCTAGAATTTCTATTCGTTGGAAAAGTGATGGTCACAGTTATTTTTACATCATCCTGCTCATCGTTTCTAGTTCCTTGGAATGCCACTGAAAAATCCGATTGGATTGGCTGCTGGTTTCGACAAAAATGCTGAAGCAGTTGGTCCTCTGTCAGAAGCGTCGGGATTTGGACTAGTCGAAGTTGGATCAGTGACCCCTATACCACAAGATGGGAATCCAAAACCACGAATGTTTCGCTTGCTTGAAGACGAGGTTTGAAAATCTGTTTACTTATAAAAGTTCTTCTCCTACTTGTCTTATTCTTCGACGACGATTTTATCATACTGAATTCTTGCATTCTAATCTATGTAAGCGCTGTGGGCTCATCGAACCGTCGAAAATTCTTATCGAGGTCAAATTTGTGTGTTTGATAAGCTCGAGCATTACATTAATAGGGTGTGAAGTTTTAACATTAACTGCCATCGTTGGACGCCTTAATCTTTCGTGCAAGTTGGAGCGTAAGACGGAGTCTCGTGCTAAGATTTCGCGTTCTCATGTACGCCTATCCTGATCCTCTCACTCAGCGTTCATTTATGCTGGTGAACCTTATATCAGCTAGTGTTCGACTGGTTCGGCTAGAGAATTATCATTTTTTGAATTAGGGAATCATAAACCGATGTGGCTTCAACAGCGAGGGCGCCAACAAGGTCTCTAAACGTGTCAAAGCAGCATTAGCTCAACGAAGTGGCAATTCAGCTGTGATAGGAGTGAATCTTGGAAAGAACAAGTTCACCGAAGATCCGAAGTATGTGAATGTTCTTAGGGATTTTTAATGATTCATTTCAACATTGGGTTCCCTCATATTTTTTATGCTAAACGGCACATATGAAGGGCTTGAGCGAGTTCACGCAGTAGTGATCTCTTTGTTTCATCCTTTTAATTTCTCGCTACTTCTTTTGCCTTTCGATTATATTTTTTTTCTTTGCGCAGTTAACCATTATTCGCTATAAGTGCCTACACTTTCGTTTTTTCATTCAGTTCCTGTGAGTTCATTTACTATCGCTTCTCTAACTTTCTCCCTTTAATTTTCATCTTTCTTAACTGTTTTTCGCGCGGAAATCTAACATCCTCTTCTTCAATTTGTTTAAATTTCTCTCTAAACGTTT